CTTTCGCAAGTTCATTGAAAAAAAGAAAGCAAATCAGGTAAAATTATCTATTATATATTATATTAAATATTTAAATTAATATGCATACATTTATTAACATTTATTACAATTTAATAATAACTATTTTACTATTTCTTTTTTTCTTGACTGCAGCTTGAAAGAAACAACAAGCCAAAGCAAAAAAAAAAAAACGTAGATATATAAATAAATCTATGTATATCTATAAATAAGTTTGTATATTTTTACTTAGAAAAATAGAGATATAAATAAATGTGTATATATGTGTTACAAATTTACAACAACTTATAAACATATATATGTGTGTGTTTTTATATAATTTTTAAATTTAAATTGCTATTAATTAAACTATTGCATTTGCACGGGTAATCCACTAGTATATACTAAAAGAGAGGAGGGAAATCAATGAACAGTGAATTTTTGGATTTGTTTTTGATCCTTCATCCTTCTTCCCCTTGCCTTGGCTTCGGTCTTTTTCGTTGTTTTGGGTGTGACTAAGGCCTTAGCCTTTTTTGTTTAGTTTTGCTCTTGTATAGTGCTGAAACTTTGGACGGGCCGCCCGTGACCACCGAAAAGTATGAATTTTTGCCCGATGACCGAACCCGATCTGCCTGGAAATTCAGGCTACCCGACCCGACCCGAAAATTCCCATGGACGGGCTTCGGGCAGAGGAAGCCTGCCCGTGCCCGGTTGGGCTGCCCGATGCCTGACCGGCTGCTCGAAATTTTTTTTTTATATTATATTTTTATGTTGTTGAAATAAGTATTTGTATAATTACAATGTGTAATTGTGTATATTACAATTTGAAATATGAAATGAACACACGACACGAACGAACTATATAAAAAAAATTACTTTTTCATTAATTTTTAAATTTGTAATTCATGATTGCCTCATTAAAAACCTTACCAAGAAAAACCCAATTGGGATAAAAACTTGGTAAGGAAAAAAGAGTGCAATCATTGTGGGACGAATTACAAATTTAATGAACTTACAAAGTCTATACAAGATTACAAATTATAATAAACACTATACAAATTAGAAATTACAAAGTAAATAAATATTTACAAAGAAATTATCAAGATGAAGCAGAAGGATCATCTTGAAAATTAAAAGTTAATCTATTAAATTCGTCGATCCATTCTTGGTTTGCCGGTGAGATTGTATCGTGTAAGCGTTGGTCGGAACGGTCCCAATCCTTGATGCACACCAAAGCTTCAACAATATCCTGCTGCAATGCGTTTCTCTTTTCTTCAAGTATTCGGCCGGTTGTACTGAATGCTTGTTCGGCTGCAACGGTAGAGACCGGGATTGAAAAAATATCCATTGCCAGTCGTGTTAGGATCGGCCAAGTTAATGCTCATGCCCTCCACCACTCAACCAAATCAAACACCTCACTACTGTCTACAACTAAGCCCTCACTCAGGTACGCCATTAACTCGTTGAATCCGCCGCCACCTCTTGATGAAGATCCACTTCAACTCTCAGATTCTTCTTGACCTTGACTCGTCGTTGTCGTCTTCTTCCTCTTCTTCTTAGACAACCCGAAAACATTCAAGAATGAATGAAGATTGTCGTCTCGTTGTTGCGATTGTTCAACACGAGGTGTGTTTCTAAACCTACTTTCGTAAGAGATATATAGAGAATATATTTTTTCCTTTATAATAGGAAACTGGTCAGTAGTGTCTATAGCTAAAAATTCACCTAAGTTATCTAATCCACTTTTTAAACCTTCTAATTTTAATCTAGGGTAAAAAATAACACCAAAACCATACAACAAGGGTAATTTAAATCAATATTTTTTAAATTTCTTTTCCATAGAGGCGATAGGAACTCCTAAAACCTCATGTGTCCTAAATTCACTAAATAAAATAGACATTCTTAAAAGTTCTCCTAATGCTAATGGTGAAGTTGGGTAATAAGTTCCACTAAGCTTTAAGGTAACTTCATGAAATCTACCTAAAAAGTTATACAAAAGTTTGGCAATTTGCCAATCAGTTTCATCTATAAATTCTGTTCCTAATTTTGCACTAACATAATTTGTTATAACATCTTTATAGGAGATGCATTGTTCAAGCATTATGTAAGTGGAGTTCCATCTTATGGGCATATCTAAGGCTAATGCTCTAGGATTTTGATTACATGCTTGTAGAAATCTAAACCAATCTTGTATTCTTTGATTACTACATTGAATCCAAGCAATGTTATCTCTAATTCTTTTAATATGACCTGACATTGATTTTAAACC